GGACAGTGAAAAAGACCGGGACAGCCACGATGACGGAGACTACTACGAGCTGGACATCAACGGGCCGGAGATCCTGCAGTGTAAATACACAGTGGCTGTGTCTGAAGCTGGGGAGCTGAGGCAGGAACTGAAGACGCTGCGGTCCAAGTACGAAGAGTGTCGAACACAGTATGAGGAGGAGCGCTCGCGGTTCGATAACGACGTCCATGACCTAAGGTCGAAGTTGGCGTCCCTGGAGAAGATCAGCCAGGCGGATCAAGCAGATGTGGCTCGTCTGGAGAAGGAGCTGCGTCTGGTCAGCACGTCGGCGGGAGAATCACTCGGCAGCCTTAACGTGGCGCAGGATGAGCTCATAACGTTCAGTGAGGAGCTGGCCAATCTCTACAACCATGTGTGTATGTGCAACAACGAGACGCCCAACCGTGTCATGCTGGACTACTACAAGGAAGGCAAGGCCATAGTGAGAAGAGGTAAAGAAGGGAAGGAGTCTTCCATACTTCTCACCAACGGGCTGATCACTGAGTCTGAGTCTGAAAGCTCCAGCAGCACCACAGTCACATCCGCCCCAGAGCACCGGCCAGAACCCATGAACGTGTATAACCTCGTGGCCATCATCAGGGACCAGATCCTCCACCTGCAGCAGGCGGTGGACCGCACCATGGAGCTGTCCCGTCAAAGACTTGCAAACCAGGAGCGGAGCACAGTGGCAGACAAGGACAAAGAGGCTTGCATTGGAGAGATCCTCAAACTGAAGTCCCTGCTGAGCACCAAAAGGGAACAGATTGCCACTCTCAGAGCCGTGCTGAAGGCCAACAAACAGGTCAGAGGACCCCAGTGTGTCTGTATGTGTGTGGCCCAGCTGTGTGCATGCTGCTGCTGTGTATGTTTCCCAAAGGAAGGATGTTCATTGTTTCTCAGATAGACTTGGGCCGAAAATAACCGCAGTGCAATAAATGAATAATGAATGAATACTTATATAAGTTCTTATTCCCTTTTTTAGACGGCTGAGGGTGCGCTGGCCAACCTGAAGAGTAAGTATGAGAGCGAGAAGGGCATGGTGACAGAGACGATCATGAAGCTCCGCAATGAACTCAAGGCTCTGAAAGAAGATGCCGCCATGTTCTCATCTCTTCGAGCCATGTTTGCTACAAGGTATGATTACTGGTTTACTACCTAAATGTGAACAAGCACTTATTTACATTTTTATTCCTGACAAACATGAAATTAGCCAAGACTTTGCCAAGTGTTCCAGCACGCACGACATTATTCAAACCAACTAATGTCCTGTATACTTCAAAGGAAATATGAGAACATTACCAGATTAGAGAGGACATTTATTTCAATCATGTTAATTCTTCACTTATTTTAGCATATTTCTCCTAAAAATGAAAATGTTAAATATTTCATGTTGGTGTGTATAAGACACAAGGCATTGTGGGAACAGTCTGATGTAATACTGTGTGAGCTAGCAGAAACCTCATCCTCCCATCTGGAAATTGCTGTCTCGGGAATGGAGAAAACATGTGACTGCAGCAGTGGATAAAAGGCAAGCTGCTCCACCTGCTGGATATAACGTTCCTCTCTGGTTTCTTCCTACCCCCCTCTCTCTCTCTCTCTCTCTCTCTCTCTCTCTCTTCTCTACATCTCCCTCTCCTCCCCTCAGGTGTGATGAGTATGTGATCCAGCTGGATGACATGCAGAGGCAGCTGATTGCTGCTGAGGATGAGAAGAAGACTCTGAACTCTTTGTTACGTATGGCGATCCAGCAGAAACTGGCCTTAACCCAGCGCCTGGAGGACTTGGAGTTTGACCATGAGCAGGCCCGCCGCAGCAGCGCCACAGCCGGAGGAGGCAAGGGCAACACAAAGGGAGCCTCTGCCAGCAAACATGTAAGTCGTATGCTCTACTGCAGAACCAACTGTGAGCCACAAAGCACCTGCAGAGGCTCTGGGTTCTTCTGCAAGGCTTAAAGTGGCCCTTTTAAATCTCTCCATCTTTATTATTATTTTTATTTTTGTATCTTTTATTTTTGCAAGATTTTTCTCTCAGGCTGTGCATTCACTAATATATTCTCACTCTAAGCTCTCTGTTTTGGAGCCATTATACCTCTAACACAATATATGGCATACTAGTATTATTTCTTCGTCCTGTACAGTACATGTATTTATTTATTCATTCCACACAGTTATTTTAAAACATGTTCACTTTACGAAACATGTACACTCATACTGGGTTTAAAAACAAATGTAACGTGCATGGTGGAAAGGAGCAGGGAGAAGAACATCTTATTTGACCTGCCCCTTCTAAAAAGTCAAATAAAAGCAATATTATTTCAGTCACAGTTGCTTACAAATACTGAAACAAATCCAGAACACAATCAAAAGTCAACTTCATACTGTCTAAATATGCTTTCATGATTTTGCTCACAATGTTAGACTGGTTTAGCAGAACCATTCCTCTCTGTGCTACCATTCATGTCAAAAATAACATACAGAATATATTCATTTGGGCTCAAGGAAGGCACACATCTCCTGAGCATGACGTATAAGTGTTATTTTCCTTGTGATATTTATATATCGTTCTTTGGCTTGCGATCCACATGAAACATGAAACTTGAATTCTAAATTGAATTCAACTGAATTAGCTTTCCAGGCTACATCCAATTCCAAATGTGTATGTGATAATTATAGGAATATATCATTAGTAAGTGTGCGGGTCATTTGTTTTGTGAGAGGATGATGCCACATGTAACCAACAAAAGAATTATGTGAAGAAGTGCTTAGATATTCTGGCCTGAAAACGAGTTGGATGAAGAGGTTTAATAACAATGTTTACAATGATGTTACATACATGTGTTATCTACCTCGATATTGATCTTGAAGATTTCATTTATATTTAAGGTCAGTTCATATTACAACTCCTTTTTTCGCTCACTGAGCCGAAAAGGCTTGTGTTCTATAACTAGTGATATACTATTCTCTATTTTCTGTATCATATTCAGGAAGTGAAGAGTTTGATTACATTATTTGAATGATAATGACATTGAGATCATGTCAAATGTCCCTGTATTATCAGTGACTCCTTACTGAATCCTGCATGCATTACACCCCTCATTCTTCTGCTTTCATCTAATGTTACCTTAATTATATAACTTGATCTAAGTGATTCAGTGGAAATACACATTTCAACAATCAACCAACAATCTAATTAATGTGATTTCTCTTCTGTTTCTGTGTTTCTATTTGCAGTAAATCAATCAAGTGTCCTTAAGGAGCTCCGTCAGGCTGTCTGTGACAGTCTCCAGTCACCCGGTTCCTTCACTCTCTAATCCTGCTCCAAATCATGTTAATGTTAACACTAGAACATATACATCAGTCATTGCCAAGGGCCTTGTTTTAGAGTGCCAAAACCAGTGTGAACATTAAGAGAGAATGACTCGTCGCATCAGCGGTCCTCTGCAGTCTTCCAACAATATGCACCACTATTATTATTGAACCATAGAAAGCATCAGCGCAGGCCTCTGCTGATCTCTCATTGCCAATGTTACCATGACTGTGCACTTTTTCGCTTTCCCGACCCATAGCTGATTCCTCTATCTTTCTAAAAATCATACTAATTATTTGAAATATTATTCATTCATTTTTTTTACCAGATGTGCATGTTCATCTACCAGGTGATATTTTTAAGTGGTTCAACATATTTTGTATCCTTATTTATTTCATAGCAACACATTGAGAGTAACTGCTTTTAAACCAGAATCTAACAAGAGGGACAAAAACACTTTTCTGCCTTAGTTGTTTTCCTTTTGGCCTTAAATGTATGGGTGCGTTTCTGACAACCCATATAAACACTTTCTAGGTATTCAAGATGATTGATAACTTTTGTTCCTGTTTATCTGATAAAAAGAAATACGAAATATATTATTTTCACTAAAGACGATCCTGCAAATATGGAACTTCAGTTTCAGGGTATTACTTCATGTTGTGTGCTTGTCCCTTGTAGACATGGCAAAGCTGTTACAAATTCAGTATGCTTGTTACGACTAAGAAAGAGTATTAATGCAAAGCTTATTTAAACATTTCTAAGTTAAGGTCAGATGTTGAAAGTATTCATTAACTTTATTCATGAAGGAGAGTTTTAATGTTATTGTTTTAATACACCTTTGTTTAAAACGTCTAAGTCCTTATATCTGCAAACAAGCCTGCAATGCCATTTTGTGTCTGTTTCTATGACTGCAATTTGCAAACATGGCAAGAAAAAAAAAACTAAATGTTTGTGCTATGTTAAACACATTGTTGCTCACATACTTGGTCCTAATTGTTTTTTTAATATATGATTTTACTATATCTGCAATTGTATTTATTTGACACTGTTCAGACAACAGGATGCCATTATCCTCTTTCTTTCATAAGGGAGTCAAGAGTAAAAGTGGCGGGTCAGAATATTGATCATTGAAGACTGAACATAGGGTAAAACCAAACACTAGTAAAATGTTTGACTGTGGGTTACTGCTAACAGTTATGGATGGTGAAAAAATAAATTAACTTTAAAAGTGTAATTTTGGTTCATTATCATGCAAGCATAATGTTACTCATCCAATTGTCATTTTTATTAAAGCTTCATTCTTTCACTGTTGAGACATTATCCTATATTGCTTGTTTAGAGTCAATTATTATGCCTCCAAGAGTTGAGAAAAAGCTTCACTATTACCATGTATATTTCTTTCTATGCCTATCTGATGACTAAGAAATGAATTCATGTATACATGCACTTTCTAGTCTCATACGACACAAAGTTGGATCTAATTTGAACGTTACATTTACCCTTTTAAATTCTGAAATTTACAACGAAACAGTTTAATAATGTGTTCAGCCATAGTTTGGAGATCATTGTCTCGTTTTATTGTAAATACATCTCAGCATTTGTATAAAGTAATGCATTTATTTCGTTAATCTGGGATTTGCCATATCTATTACCATTTCCGGTGAAAAGGAAAGTTTTTGTTTTTCCTTTTTTGAAGACGTTTACGTAAGCCACTCCCTGCCTGCGCGGTGACGTCAGGGGGCGTTCCAAACAAAGGACAGAGGGGACTCCACAATGGGAGGTTTGTGTCTTTCCTTACGAGAAATTAGTTACCCTTATCTTAACAAAGGTTACTGTTTGCATTCTGTTTTGGTTTAATCTCTTCCCATTTGATCCAAAAACACGAACATTATAACAGCGCTAACGACCTCAAAGGTTGCCTTCTTCGCCAATGACAATGTAGCGTTTCAGTCAAGTCCTGTTTCTAAAAAGTTTCTTAACGACACATTTGCACTTAGTAACACGCTTAAATGTTCGATTTGCAAATGTTTAGATAGATTACCAACCATATATGTCTTCTCACACTCTGTCACAGTTACGATTAGAGACTTGAGATCATGTCAAACTTATTTACTGTATTCAGACCTATGCTACCGCAAACGTACTTCTCTTTCCAATGAACCAGCAATCCTGTTGTCAGACAGTGTTTTGAATGTATCGCTGATGTGCCGAGTTATTGTTTTAAACGTCTCTCTTTTAACGCGGACAGACAGTTTCCATGAACAGCTGTTGGCGGACAGCGCCTTCCTCAGAGCTGACCGCAGACTGGACACAGAGCTGCTGGACAAAATCATCCTGCAGCTCAACAGGATCTACCCGCAGATCCTGTCAGACAAGGAGGCCACCAAAGTAAGTTTTCATCACAAAGTTCCTCACTGTCTGGGTCACAAGCAGGCAGAGGTGGAAGAGATGAACACAAAGATGTAGCACAGTGTATAGTTCGTTTTAAGGTGTACTGCAAAGGGAAGCATCCCTGTCGATGTTATACTTTATTTGACTATTATTACTGCTGGTATTTACTGTGCTGGAATCTAGTCTATCATTTTCTGTGACTATTTCATGAGATGTCAATTGTCTACTGTGAATCACATTGGACTGCAATTATTGTATGAAAGGTGCTAAACAATTAAAGACTATTATAATGCATTATATTCTATAAACTTGTAGTAGGTTCTTATGCAGAATGTTATATACAGATATGATTGGTAACTATGGTTGTGGAATAAATCTCAATGTGTTAGAAATTCATTATTTCCCTTTGACGTTGAGTAAAACTATCATGGAAAATAATCAATAATATACTGCAGGAAGGTGCAAATGCCTTAAAAGTATATATTTCAACAAGTACATTAATTGTACTCGCTTATATATTTAAGTTAATGTACTTTATTATGTGACATTACATTAAAAAAAGCACTGTATTTAGAATATGTTGTTGTCAAGCACCTGATAGTCTTGTTACATAGGTACATGAGTATTCTTTCTTTGAACAGAACGCTTCTGATTATGTCTTGCAATTAGCAGTTTATGACAACATGAAAACGTATTGAAATCAAAAAATCCTGGACCTTCCTGTCTGGCATGGGCAAGACGTGTTAGCAAGCATTTCCATATACCATATATAATGATATCCTGTAATAACTGTTGTTATCCAGTTCAGAAACTTGGATGTGTCTACAAGTGTCCGAGTGGGTGAGCTTCTGACCCACCTGCAGGGGAAAGGAGATGAAGCCTGCAGGGAGTTCTACAGAGCTCTTCACCTGCATGTGGAGGAAGTTTACTACAGCTTGCCTACCAGGCTGCGCCTCAGAGGTTAGTCCCCAAGAACAGCGCCTTTATATTATGTAAGCTATTTATTCATTATTTGGATATCACAGAATAGGCTTATTTGTTTGTTTGAGTATATGTTACATTGTATTCTTATCCGCCCTGCTCCAGATTCCTTAGATCCCCTCACAATTCCACGTGTCCAACAACAGAGACATGTTCTAAATGACAGAGGTAAGATGCTAGTTATTTATTCTTTAATGATGGGCAGCAAAATCCTAACATGATCAATGTATATGATAGTCATTGTGATTGAAAAAAAATATGCCATTAGTGTGACGAGTAGTCATTTAATGCTGAGAAGTACACAGATAATTCATTATATTTCTTACGTTATGCTAACCTCTTTCCAGGTCCGGTCTTCTTTCTGGGCTGTTTCAGCGTTGCAGTGGGAATGGCTTTACTTTACTACTACAGTGGTAAGTAACTTTCCAGTTGTTCAACATAACCTTTGCAATGTTAACAATCAGATATTGTCAGTATTATTGGGTATTTATTACCAATTTAAGAACGCATGCTTTGAACATACTACTTCACTTAATGGTGTTCATTCAGTGATACAAAGATGGTGTCTTTTATTCTGTAGAGACAAAAGTGACGGGAGGTAGCCGGGCCCTCGGGATGGCATCTCTGGGTTTGAAACGAAAAGCTCAGGAAGTTCTCATATGGTACACTGAAGAAGGCCTCATGAAGTAAGGGAGGAGGGGGGCGACTCCTTCGCACCAGGTGCTTCAGCAGTTCTGCTCCTATGAATTGCACCAAAGCATAGCACACTATATATTTTCAGGATTTGATACTCATTTTGTACACACTTGTATGAAGTATTCTGGTTGTGGTCTAAAATGAGGAATATGGGGTATTTAGTCCTAGGCATAGAGCTACATTTGGCCCTTTGCTCTGTTTTCCTCACATGTTGTTACCTATTTAAGTTGGCAAATGGGACTGAATACACTCATGGCATGAACACAGGGAAATCAAAAACAAGCTCATTAAAGAAGTTGTTCTCACTACCTTTTTAATGTGGAACAAAATAACTTTTACAAACCAAATAAACAAGAAAAACATAGTATAGTGTCAAAATTAGACATAAATAAATATTTACAATTGGAAGTATGTTATTGACTATAAATTGTCAATTTTCAGCAAAGCTAAATATAGCCTCCAATTAATTGGTGTATTTTGCAGTCCTATAATAACTATCCTTAAATGCAGAAATGATAATTTCGTACTGAGAATATCCTAAAACATTTTTTTTTGTGATGATGAATAACATTGCCAACTGATGTCAAGCATACAACTTAAAAGTTCTCCCCAAATGTATTCAGAAACCAACTCCATGATGCTCAGCATTGGTGGAACAATACTGCCCTCTTGTGGCTAAAAGTGAACTACATCACCAGCAGTGCACACATATGTTGGCTTGTCTTGTTTTCATAATAGCTTCCCGAAAATCTGCTGCTCACATTTAGACAGAAAACGGGATAAGGCGTTTTAACAGCAAGACATTATATTGAGCCGTGTCTGTATAATAACACTTTTAGACGAGTTTTGCAACCACGTGATTCCCTCCGCCAATGAAACACGCTACCACCTCTTCCCATAATGCAGTGCGCATTATGGGAAGAGCTACCCAAAACATAAATAATGTCTAATGAAGAGTCGTAATATAAGTAAGTCGTAATACAAATTAAACAGTAATTGAACTTTTTACGAATGAAATATTCACCATGTGTGTCTAATATATGTGTTTTTGTTTAGTATCCTATTCTGAAGTTACACCGTAATAAAAAGTAGGTTCCGTATGCCCTGGTATATATAGGGCGGAGTTACTTATTCTCTATGTGTTGTATGAAAGGAGAGAAGGTTAGCACTCCCCTCGACAAGGATGGAATTGGCCCTAGTGGCCATCAACACATATACGGTTAAGGCACTGCCACTTACTTCGTGGCATCTATAACCAGATTTTTTGATTAGTATAAATTCGACTTAATCCAACAATTATTTACTATCTCTTAATTTTCTTTTCCCCGTTCAACGTTTAGACCATTTACTCTAAGTTTTACTGCAGGATGTGAACTCTTACAGAAATGCCTTCAGCATTTAGCCTCTGCTGAATACACGAAGGGTTACTGAAACTCCTGTTTTTTCTATCTCATAGAAGGAGCTAATAAACTCAGTTTGTGAGCGTTAAAGTGCATTCAAATTTGTATATAATTCACAGCTATAGATATTGTATTTTATAGATAGAGTGGATATTATATTAATCTCATTGTGCCTTTTGGTTGACTATTTGTCAATAATTTAATAAATTGTATTAATTTACTCTACACAGATAGGTAGAATTAGTTGGTATTTCTCAGGCTGTTTGTAATCCATGACATAGAGAACATACTAGTAACTATCATAATGGTGCTGTGGTACGACTGTCTCCTTATTAATGGTCTCTTGCTGGGGTAGACTTCAGGGTATCAAAAGCCAATACCAAGAAAATCTAAAAATGTTCAATGTGCATGACTTTGTTGTTATTGTACGAATCAATTTTGTATTATTATTCTAAAAGGAAATATTGATAACTGATTTTGGATGTCCATTGCCTGGTGGTTTGTTACATTTTGTGTAATGTGTCACGTACAAAGGCCTTAAATTAGAAGTGCCATCGTTTGAACTGAGACTTTGGTCTTTTATAAAAATGCATGATAAGAATAAACGGGACAAAAAACACATCTTATAATTTCTGAAGTTTTATTTATAAAATGTATTTCAAAAGAAGTCACAGTATACAAGATCATGTGAAGCTTTGGAAATATTTGGTCATTTAAAAAAGTGATTTAAAAAGGCCTAAAAGTAACCACGTCAACTATATACTGCAGTAGTTTAACGTTTTTAACTAATATATACAGGGTCAAACAAAACACACAAGGCTTTCGACAGCACACAAAACAGAGCATGTAAGGTCCACTTCATTTGATTGGTTGAGGTTTATGAAAGTGTAAACTGTTTAAAATGTTCCCCCAAAGTAATAAAGCTTTTATATCATGTAATGCCTCATGAGCAGCATGGTCCATGATTTACTATTAAGGATGTCTTTTGGGTTATGCTATTGTGATTATGTTCTTTTTTCCCTAAGGCCGCAGGCATAAATTGTGGTTTAGACTGACAGATACTGACACATTTCAAAACATTTTACATAGGTAAAGGCAGTCCTTTATCAGCATCGGTAACCTGAGCATGATGAGGTAACAAACTGATTGATGGCCACATGAAATAAATACAGACCGAAAACTTGTCCAAAGTCAGAGGAAGGGAACTCTAACACGCACACACACACAAATATATACACACACACACACACACACACACATACATACATACATACATACATACATACATACATACATACATACATACATACATACATACATACATACATACATACACGCACACCAATTACCAGAGTCTCATGCCTAGGACGTCAACAAAAATGGAAGTGCAATGCCACTTAGTTTGGGGAATAAATATTCTGCATATTTGTGTAAATAATGTGGAGGTCCTTCTTTACTAAGTTGATCAGCAGGCATGTAGAGTCGTGTAAAGGGTGATCAAGAACTCGGGTTGGGCCGCTGTACACCAAAGGCTGTAATGAAGACGTTGACCACGACTATGATAAAGACGAAGGCTGTGGTGGTGTTCTCCAAGATGTTCAGCTTAAAGTGCATGCTTGCATCATTCAGGTTCCACTTAACTGTAAAAAGAAAAAAGGAAAGACATTAGTTTTGCCTAGTCAGGTGAATAATTTGTTTCTTCCTCCATTAGGACATTACATGCTTTGCTGGGTTGAGAATGATTATTTTTTTAGAAAGAGAAGGTCTGTTTTGTTTTTTTAACGACCCTCTCAGATTAGGCAAATCTCCAAGACATGACTTATTTTCCAAAAGTCAAGAGAGCTCTTTAAAACTGTAAACAGCTGACAGCAGAGGCGCTTCTTCCTGTTGTGACTATCTAAACTCAGCGAACAGTATTCTCTGTTAGGATAAGATAAGGAGTCAAAGGAGGAGTGAGCACACTGATATGTATGTGCTCCCAGGGTTATATGCCCAGAGAAGCGTAAATATTATTGTGCTTCTTTCTCTTCGTTGGTAGACCTGTAAAAACTCAACAGCATGAGACATTTCATATCCAATTTAGTCAAAATGGTTTCAGTTGTAGAGAATGATTAGCCGACAAATCCTATCAATGAACAGCAGTTGTTAGTTGTGTTCCCATGTGACAGTGTAGTTACAAATGCACACACATTGTAACAAGTACACGTTTTTTTGACCCGACCCTTGCCTGTAACAGTGGGCTCAAAAAGTCCCATTTGTGACTTAAATGGGTGTGCATGTGTAACTTCAGTATCACATAGCATGGGAGATTTAAGTATTGAGTTTCACAGAGTTGTCTGCCTTGAATTTGTAAACGGATTTTCACAAAAGCAATTCCTTTTGTTACATAACGATTGTTATAATCAAGTCGACACACCTAGCTAATCTGGACAAAGTAAACATGATCTCACATTTACTTTACACAATGTTGCAGTAGAAGACAGAGGACCAACACAATATATTTTATATATTTCAATGATCTCTTTAAATATATAAAAGCCTGGAAAATAAGAAATTGGAGACTCTCAAATCACCTATGAAGATGAGCAGAACTCCCACTATGATTTGTAGGATGAGAGAGATGCTAATGAGAGTGATAAGGGGTGCATAGAAGGTGAAGTCGGGTCCTTGCTCCAACACAGCCTTCAGCTGTGAGGCGTTGGCCATCAGTAGAGCTACATCCAGCATGCTCTCTGCCGCACTCTTCTTATTGGCATAATGGTTCATGTTCAGAGGCCCCTGTGGCGTTCTCCCTTGGCCTCGCAGCGCGACCTAAAGGCAAACATAAACCATGACATCAGTATTGACAGTTAGAAATGTGGTAATTCCATTCCTATATTAATGTCTCAATTATGGTAGATTTCATGAACATAAAATATGTTGTCATCAGGTGTTAGTTATTTACTTTGTGATGTAGCGTCTGAGGTATTTTTATTAAATGTAACCTCACCCCCCCGGTCTAAGCCAAACTCCACCCTCTGCATAAATACAAACAATTCTACTAAGTGGGAAAGAGGCAGAAAAAGGAGAAATGGATTAGAAAGGCTAAATGACAGATAAGTTCAAACAGGTCCACTCTGTCAGCTGAGCAAGGTTGCATATTTGTACATTTGGTAAGAAATGTCAATATTAACCGCAGCATTGGTGAGTTTAATCACAATGGAGTCATATCATTTCCCTTACAGCTTAAACATATGTATGTGTGCACACACTCTTTAAACTTAAGAGATGTGGTCTAACTCACGACACTTCTAAATGAACCCACTCTGTTAGTGTACTGATGTAATAGAAATAAACACATTGAGTATCTTCACTTTCACCACTGTTACTCTAACACTGGAAACAGCCTGCTTTCTTCTCCTGAAATTGTGTAAACAAGGTTTTTAAATGAATGGGACAAAATAACAACGCACTGCTGCAAGCATGATGAGTTTTATATGTGTGGAAAAATGATGTCACCTTCTCAGGAAATACAGTGCTGGAAATGCGGGGGTTCTTTTTCAGCCTAGATTTTCCATTTAGAAATAATTGTGTGAACTCGAACAGTGACCTTTTTATCAAAGCTGACCCGGGATAAGTTTGAAAAATAAGATAATGTTTAAAACTCAACCATGACAATACATTTGATCGCAACTGATCAGCATGACGGCAAAACTATAACCCAGATTTGTGCAATTCCACTAATTTAGTTTTCTATCAAACAAAATTGTGGAAGTGAAAGTGAACAGTGGCTAAATTGAAACAGGAACAACCATGACCCACTGAGCAGGTCACGCAACTGCAATAATGACCTCGATCCGGTTTCAGTAAATACACCATACGTTAAACCACATATGGTACAGTCTGGAAGACCATCACTTGTCCAAGAATCATTTTCCCTACTTTTTGTAGAACAGTAAAGAAATGGGTTACATTTGTCTCTTTGGTGAAATGAGACTGTAATTAATGGTTAACTAAAAACAAAACTATCACATCACAGGAAGCCAGGGTATGTGGTCATGAGTTTAGGTCTGTTCTCAGGGTTTCATCTCGTAGCTCAGAGATTGCAACAATGTCCCCCTTGTGTAAAGGTCGACATTGCCGCACACTGAGGCTCAGCTTAGCGTTCTTATTTCTTCAGGAAACTACCAAGCCAAAGAGGAAAAAGATGCTCTTGTGGTAAACCAGCAGTGTCAGAGTCAATAGCTGTCCCTAGGGCTGCTCGATAATGGCAAAAATCATAATCTCGATTATTTGGGTCAATAATTGATATCACGATTATTAAAAACGATTATCCATTTACTTTGAAAACATCAATTTATTGGAGAAAAAAAATGTGAACCGTATGTTTTTAACAGTTGATTACCCTGAGCTTTAAGTATAATTCAACTGAAAAACCAATTCAAAAAAAAAATTATTTGAAAAAAAAAAAAAAAGTAATAATAAAAAAAGAATACGTTTTATTTCGATTACGTTGTTTTCGTTAATCGTTGCAAGCCATAATCGTCAACAGCCCTAGCTGTCCCCCATTAAATGTAATTGTACTGTTACAGCTTCATTTTCACTTTCTGTCTGACTGAGTATAGCTTCCTATAAATACGGTGCTTTCTAGGGAGGAGAGAGCTTTCTTTAAACGTNCCACACATCACAGATTAATGATGTAATATTTCTGTCTAACAAGCACTTATACAGATAGCTGGCGCAGAGACAGAAAGAACGGGTTTTGATGGGATGAAAGTGATGAAGTAGAGTTGGAAAAGTTGTAGCGAGTACTCAGATTACCATAAGGGGTACGAAAGCGTATGTAACTGTACGTATCTGTTGCGTATGTGTGGGGATAAGAGACGAAGACAGACGCAAGATGGACAGGCATAAATACTGAGAGGAATAGGAGAGGTTTTAGCTTGGCCGAAAGGAAAGACTTAGTAAGGAGAAATGGACCACTGGTCTCCATGGCACCGGACGACTGGTATAAAAGTAAGACTGAGGATAGGAAGGGAAGGAGGAGATGGGGAGGGGGAAGCTTGTGGGCGAGCAGAGGATGTGCACCGCTCGCCCAAGTACCCCGCCAAGCCGATAGGTGATTTGGGTTCAGACGTTGGGGCCCATCGCTCTCGGACCCGGGCCCCGTCTAAAGAGAGGACTGCTCACATCACAGATGAACGAGCCGGGCCTCCAAAACCACAGAGGAGCAAAGAGAGGTGAGAGTATGTGGTTAGGTTCCCGAGCCCGCAGAGTTTTAGATATGAAGCGAAGGCTGGTCTTCAGGGTGACGGGGCAAACTAAACTACAGTTACAAGGTTCAACAGGTGGAGAAGAGGAATCAGAGTGAAGACTTATTTGGGATCTAGCAGTGGAGTAAAGAACAACTGACCTTGTTGCATTTCTCGGCTATAAGTGTACGTTAATGTTTAAGCTTAGACACACTGACGACAGCAAAGGAGCAGTGGTGACCTGGGATGTGCGTGGCCCTGACGTTGCCTGCGTCTTGGTCAAAAAGTTGCATTTGATCACACCGCAAGACTACAGAGCCCATGTGAGGGCTATTTAAAAAAACTAAAATTAATTTCAAGCTTCACGTATTGTTTTAAAATTTCTCATCCACAACAACCAGGCTACAGGCCACCAGTTATACTCTGCCCTGTTATGAGCTTCTCATGTTAAAAGAAGGCTGCTCCATTGTATGATATGGTTATTAAAGGCTATAGTCTCAGGTGCTCCACCATATGAAGAAACTTCAATATAAGCCAGGAGATGGTATATCAGTTTAGTATGCATAACGGGCTAAAAAACCTAGTCCAAGACAAGGAATCAGTGCCGACACCTAAAACCAAAACCTTGTATTTTTTAAATGGATAAGTGGTTTTTTGATGTTTCTTGTAGGGCTGCTCGATAATGGCAAAAATCATAATCTCGATTATTTGGGTCAATAATTGATATCACGATTATTAAAAACGATTATCCATTTACTTTGAAAACATCAATTTATTGGAGAAAAAACATTTGAACAGTATGTTTTTAACAGTTGATTACCCTGAACTTCGTTTTATTTCGATTACGTTGTTTTCGTAATCGTTGCAAGCCATAATCGTAAACAGCCCTAGCTGTCCCCCATTAAATGTAATTGTACTGTTACAGCTTCATTTTCACTTTCTGTCTGACTGAGTATAGCTTCCTATAAATACGGTGCTTTCTAGGGAGGAGAGAGCTTTCTTTAAACGTTGGTTATGATGTGTTCCCTATGTGGTGTGGTTTTTGGGTGGCGGTTTTTATGTTCTCTTCTCAGAGAACCTGGATTCTTGCTGGTTGTGGGTGTGAAGCCTGATACATTATTTTCAATATTGGGTTATACAAGTGACATTTATTAGATTTTTTGTTAACGGCTTGCTGCCCAAAACAAAACATTTAAATTGTAGCACATAAGTTATGGAAGTACAGAACACGCAGATGTTTTCAACATCAATTAACGATTCAATGATTGTTTTTTGGATTATCTATTGGTTAGTCTATTACATGTTCCTATAGCTGCTCATGATGACATCATCTAAAGCTTTTTCGGAAAGCCAAATATATTACAATTAAAAAGAGAAAAAATGAAAAGACAAGTTAATAGAAATTGATGATAATAACTTGAACAATCGAACAATAATAAAAAAAGAATTAGGCTGGATCAATTGTTTTCTGTAATTGATTTCCAGTAGACGCATATGATGACTTCGACCACTTCCCATTAACAGTTTTGAATACATTAACGGATTAAATTATATTATTATATAGTCATAGATGACTTGTTACGCATTGAGGTTATTATTAGTTATACATGGTACCAGTGGAAGAAAACATTAATATTCTTTAATTGAGTTAAAGTTACAACACTGTAAATATACTAAATTGAAAGTAAAAGTAAAGCATTGAGAGTGGCACTAAAGTAAAAGTATTTAGGTACGATTAGAAAACTATATTTAAAGTAATTAGGACTAAAAGTACTCATAGCAGAAAAAACAAAAAATATTTTAAAGCAGCAAATCTTCAAATTTAAGAAGCTGGAACTGTGAAACATTTTTTGAACCAAAAATGTCTTAGCAAAACGACTGCCCATCAATTTTCTGTTAACTCATTCATGCTTTTTGTTACTTAAATATAACTTTGGATGGTTCAATATACGAATAATCATATTTTAAAGGTTTTTCCTAAGTATTGTGTGTCAGAATCTGAATGTATAAAGTATCTAATAGATAACTCTGTAAAATATATGTAGTGGAGTAAAAAGTACAAAATGTGCTTCCAAATGTACAAAAACTACAGTAGTATAGTAGTATAGAGTAGTAGTATATAATACAAATACTCGAAAGGATGATGAAAAATGACAGTAGCTCAAATGTGTACTTAAGTAGGCTACAGTAGGCTACTACAGAATAAATGTAATTATTTACTTTCCACCACTACACAGTACCATTTATATAAAGGGGAGCCAGTGTAGACCCTGTGACAGTCAGACTAATAACACACACATATTTATTGTTTAAGAGAGCAGATGTAAGTTTGCTTTTACATTCCTGAATGTGACCAGGTTTTAACAAGCACAGTTTAAAGCTATTTAGCGTTAGGTCCGATCAGATCATATCCCTGGTACACCTGGAGGTGGATTCCTTTACAGAGCAATGCTTGTTGGATCTAACTTACAGCCACCACATGGTCTGCTGTGTCATCATTAAGTGTAAACTGAGCCCCGAGGATGAGAACAGGGCAACAAAGGCAAACTCAGCTCACAACACAAACACACGTTATCTGTTGAATAGAAACTAATGCTAATCTGCTAACCGGTCACATTGGCTTAATGACCTCAAAGCCAAACACGGAGTGACACTTTAACAATGGTCAAAAAACAAACACCGTTAGGATGCGTGGGAAACAACAGTAGACAATAGATATCCGCTGTACCCGATCAATATATCTTACTTGTGACTGTTTTTGAGAGGATTTTACCCCGTCTGAGCAGCCCTGGATGTTAGGGGACGCTTTACATTACGCTGTCTTTTGTCACTAACACCGGTATTAACTTACCTCCGCCTCTCCATTTCGGTCGGCATCACCGTTCATTTCAAAGCTGTCCGTAGCCATCTTCTTGATAACTCTACCCAGAATAGCTTGGTTTGTACTGAGAGTAGGGTAAGGGTTCAAGGGAGACGGTGGTCCAGCCGGCGGGTACAGACTCTATAAAGGCTAGCGTGACGACAAGAGGGCAGAAAAACTCCAGGCTACCGCCCCTCCTACACGGGGGAGCCCGTCCTCAGAGAGTGGGCTGTTAGTGTAAACACGGCAGGTTGCTCACTGGAATTTATGGGGGTATTTCCCACAGTTGAAGTGGAAACATAATTTCTTCAGAAAAGCAGCGTTTAGGACTGTAACGTTATTTAGCCCTGTGGACAGACTGTGAAGGCAAGATTGTATTGCCACCCTGTGTATTAATGTGATATTGCATGCTCAACTCTTTGGATGTCCTGGCGATGCAATGAACCAAAGGGTGCTGTATTTTGTCCTAATTTAAGCCAATTCAAACTTGTTCAAGGAAAACATGAATTTGATATACTGAAAAACTAGATTTTGTTTCAGAGCTTTCTAAAACACCTTCTACATAAGTGACACCATATGCTAATTAAAGCTTTTGATTTTCTTTGGTGATGGATTTTACAAGTTATAAATAAATAAATACATTATTGAAACTTGTTAATTGGCTAATTAACCGATTCCAGTAGGGGCCCTGGGGTTTCATTTGTATTCCCCTCCTTCCCTTTTTCTGTGCATATTATACTTATAAAATAAAATGTTCAAGTTGAACACAACAAGATAATACAAAAGAACAGAAGTTGCCATATTTGCTTAATTTTCCATCTAGACTTGAGTGCCACCTACATGTATACTTTTTAGTGTAAAAAGTGAATTATATAATTAATTACAACTTTGGGAAAAGTGTAAAATCATTATCATTGAATACTAGCATAATAATGATGACAACTCAAAGTACTTCTACTTGAAAACCAGGAGGTATTTATAGGGATTAAGCAATCATACCATATCAATTAATTCAGTTTTAACCTGCATGGTAGTGTTATTATATTGATCCTATACTCAATTATTTTTGTCTTTTCCCCCACAAGTCAGATCCTGTAAGTGTGTATCTATTTTAAGAATAGTTGGCAAAGTAAGATGAGCAACATAGTGAGAGTCTTAACTGAAAGTCTTATCCAATGAAACACATGCAGTCATGTGTGTCTTCAGGAAACAAGACAATGAATGGGATGGCCATACACTTTTGTTTGCCACATTCAAGGCTTCACATTGTAAACCGCCCCCCAAACATTGACCGCACCCACCAACTGGTTCCTATTATTTCCTCTGTTTCCCTGGTGACCAGGGCAGGTTTGACTGAATGATTGACCCCATAAAATGTAAAAATGTTCCTTTAAGTCGATTGTTGTTAAGAAAGAATAACATAATTTAGACCTTAAGTGAATATTTGTACCTATCCATTTATGTTCTTAGTATATTGTTTCCCTTTAAATGTTCTAACTCTTTGGTAAGTTTAAGAACTCCCTCACTTTATCACCCCTTTCCAAATATTTTTCAAAGATTAGAAAATAATATTATTTTGTTAATTACTTATTGGTATTTTGAAAGGCCAATGGAAAAAGTATTTTTACATTCGTTTTCATTAATGCTTTAAAATGTTGTTTTATTGGCAGACACTCATGTTAGTTTGGGTTTTGTTGTTTGTATTGCATGTTTAAATGGTTTACATTGTTTAATCTTCATGTAACTATAGCATCTCAACATGGTGAAAATGCCAACGCCCGAAATTACTTAAACCCCAAATCAATTGTTGACATTAAAACACAATATAGCTGAGACCCTAGCCTGTCATTAGCTGGTAATAATATTCTATCATATATTTTGCCAGAGAAATACAGTTGGTGAAAAGTGTGCCAACTAACCCTGGTCTCACCTAGGCTGTAGTATAATAGGCTAATATAATAGCATGACATACTGAATACACTTATAATATAATAGTACAACAAGTATATAAAAAGCAATTTTAAAACAATATTTTAATTATAAAATAATTCAGATAAAACCAAGGTGAAACAATGTGCCTATGCTGTGTTTCTAAATAGAATTTTAGAAAGCACTTTATTTAATTACTAGCGTATGTTATGTGTCATGTTATGTGTGTC